CCACCACTGAGTCAATTTGTTTCGGAGGGATCGTAACCATGATTGCAGAGCGATTGGGCATCGATCTTAGAGCATATGCGCATGATTTCATCCACGGGGACAAGATCAACTATATGCATCTCTTGGAGAACAATTTTGTCAAGGAACAAAACGGGGACATATTATGCAGGTTCGTGGACGTCGAGAGTAGGCCTCGATCATTCGACATGGCCTATTTTGTGCTACCCCCTCTTACCGAAGAAGGAATCCATTTTGAGGTCTCATCAGTCCTCGGCACAGACTCCGGACAAGATTCATCATCCCACGGGTCCTGTTAAGGGCCCGCCGCTCGGTCTCCTCTCTCAACTCTCACTCCTTTGCATTCATTTTAGCTAACATCACATAGAATTGTAGTTCTCTCACATTGCATAGGTTTCATGGGCTTACGACATCCGCAAAAAAGGAATTGGAATGCAACTCCACCTCATCGAAAAATGTAACACACTCACCTCTTTCATTCCATTCCTTATTTTTCCTTTGGAATCTCTCCACTAGCCGAGAGTCAACACCGTGGACGGTGTTTGATTCAAGTCTGGGGGGAGGAATGCACTAACGCACATCGTACCCATGAACCCTACACATCATGCATCATTTCTTCCAAAAAAAAATAATAATAATAAGTCTTGTATATTGTACACAGTTGCATGGATCGTCATCAATAGGTTGCACATGTACATATAGGTCTAAGAATGCTTGCATACACTTGCATAAGGTTTTTCCTCTCAAAGATTTGGCCGGATGATGATGTGGGGAGAACATAGAGTAAGGATTGGCTTGGAAAGGTTTTAGGAGCTAAGTTTAGATTGATCTAAAGGGTTGAATGGATTGTCGAGCGAGGTAGAAATAGCTGATCCAATCCTCGAGCGAATGAATATCACGTGGGATGATTTTGTCTCCTAAAGTCTAGATGGGGTAGAGGTTACGAACCAAGCACGAAACGTCTCCCTAAAAACCACCATTTGACCTCTAAGTTAGGAAGCTTATAGGAAGCAACAAGCCCTAGGAAACACGATGCATCCCGACACTCCTCTGTCATCATCTCGTTAATGAAAATCATTCGGGGACATGAGTGCGTCAAAAATGAAGGCTCGGGTCTAAGTTGTGGGACAAGAACACAAAAAAAAAAA